TCTAGATTGATATGCTGTCTCTTTCTGCTTTTCTTTCCCCTCCATCTTTCTCATGCTTTTCATTCTTCCTCAGTTCTCCCTTCTACTTGTACCTCACATCTGGAAATATAAAATAGAGAGACAAGTTGTCATCTAGCAATGAGAAATTGTGGTGGATACTCTAGATGCCTGACTCCCCTGCCCTTCAGGTCCTGGATGTACTTAGAGGTATCAAAAATGGCTTTCTACAAACATTCACAACTCTGGCCAACACATAGAGAGCATGGAGAGTGGCTAAGAGACAATATCTCTCCAGTCAGCCCTAAACACTGAATAGGATTTGATACATAAAATCCTTAGCTCTCATGCCCTTCATGTAAACTATCTTGGAATCTCTTCCTCTATAACAGATTCCCCAAGAGGGGTTAGACCTGGATTGTCCATCACAATGACTTACTTGATGAAACACCCTTATTAGCTTCCTTGCTTTTCTTCTCCAATCACCCCTAGCCCTTCCCTTACAGTTCCTGGAATCATTTCCCAGTAGCCACTTGCCTGTGAATCCTCATGTCAGGACCTGCTTCTAGGGTCTGGCTTGTGGAGCTCTTAAAGACATGGAGAGACTCAGAGAAGTCAAGTTCTGTGGGAGCAGAGGGCAGAGGCAGAGACGACAAGGAAGTCAAAGTGTGAAGAGGGCAGAAGGAAAGGCCAGGGGCGACAGTGGCCCCTCTTCTCCAAAGATGGCTCAGCCTGCAGGGCTATCTAAGTCCATTCCTGTGCCCAAGAATGTCTTAGAGAAATCATTCTTCCTTGAAGAAGACAGACAGAAGTTTCCAATCTACCACCAAGAAAGCCTAACTGAATGAGCAAGATAAACTAAAGGAAAGGTGGAAGGAGAGGGAGATGATATTGCTAGACGTGTGGTCCGAACTAGCCAGCCCTTCCAAGTACCTGGTACTTTCTTAAGTGTTTGGCAGGTGTTGACACATGCACTCCTCACAATCCATGAGGGAGGCTACAGTCATGATCATTATCAGATCACCAGTGAGAGAAATAGGTTGCAAAAAGGTCAAGAGTAGGGATTTGTATTTCTTGGTCATTAGATTTAGATTCAAATGCAGACAGCTGGTCCCCTAAATGGCATAACAAGCTGGCCCATATGACATTTGCTCAGGTCTGCCCTTCTTTTAGAGGTCAAGTTTTCATCTTTCCAGAACATATCAAATTGCCAAACATAAGTTGTTGTCTCCAGAGCCTGTGCCTTTGGACCTCTTTGCTCAAGTGGATCCTGTCCCAAGTGATGCTGGAATCTCAGGAGTTTTAGTGAAGTCAGAACAAGGCCTGAGCAGTGCTGAGGCAAGGTACCAGTGCTCAGGGCAGAGCCGAGGAAGCTTACCAGGAGTGCTGGAGGAGCTACTAAACTACTGGTGAGCAACTATGCAGACATAACAGAACCAAGAGTACAGTTTGGCATACCTCTGGTGAGCACACTGCATCATTCCCATTCCACTTCTATGAGAAATCAAAGATCAGTGAAGTTAAGTGCTAGTGCCCCTGAGTCTTTCTGACCTTCAAAATTCAAATTCCTGGATTGGTGCTGGTCAGATTCATATCATCCAAGGTGCTGCAGCAGGTAGCCAGAGCAGGTGCACAGAGATTGTAACAAGCTTTGTTGTCAGCCACCAGCTCACAAATGATGACATGGAGACTCACTAATTAGAAAAGCTCGGCCTTAGCTTAGGCTTGTCCCACTAGCTCTTATTACTTAAATTAACCCATTTATATCAATCCACATTTTGCCTTGTGGCTTTTTACCTTTCTTTCATTCTGTATGTACAACTCCCTCCATGTCTCACTAGCATCTCCATGCACCTCGTTTATCTCCTCCTCCTTCCTGTCTCTGTGCCCAGAAGTCCCACCTATACCTCCGGCCTAGCTATTGGCCATTCAGCTTTCGATTACACAATCACAGCAATACACTTTCACACAGTGTGCAAATATCCCACAACAGAGATCTTCAGACTATGGTGGTTTGTGAGCAGCCTTCCCATCAGCCATGGAATGATACAAGGAACAGAGTCCAGAGTTCTAGACTAACAAACAAAGCAAGCCAATATTAGAGTGTCTTAGCTTACTTTGCATTGCTATGATAAAGACCATGACCAAAGGCATGTTGGGGAAGAGTTTATTTCATCTTATAGGTCCATCACTAAGGAAAGTCAAAGCATTAACTCAAGTAGAGGCAGAGGTAGGAACTATGGAGGGAAGCTGCTTAGTGGCCTGCTGCCTCAAACCTGCCCAGCTATCTTTTTAACTCAGCCTAGGCTCACCTCTCTAGGAGTGTACCACCCACAATTAGCTGTGCTCTCCCACATCAATTAGAGACCAAAAATATGCACCACAGGCCAATCCGATGGGAGAAATTCTTCAGCAGAGGTTCCCTCTTCCCAGGTATGTCAAGTTGACAACCAAGATTAGTCACCACACAGATGTCCTGTTGGAGAGTTCCAGGGTTCCAAAGGATCCAGAGCCCCAGGATTTTCCCAGATACCCACTATCAGCTCACACTGTCCTCACCGCAGCCCAGGGAATCCTTTTCTAATGCCACATTAGTAAACTTCACTCAGACCCACCACGAAGTCTCTAAGTCTACCCCATGCATGAGTTCCTTCTGTTTCCTATGGGGCCGTGTTTATGAAAACAAAATTCCACAATGAAAAGGGATGCCTGGACAGGGAGTGAGGAGCTGCAGATGGAACATGGATTAATGTTTCGGAATCTTCCTACCACCCGTTCACTAAATCACATGACCTCAGCAGCTAGGCACTGTTCATCTAATGTTCAGGACAAATGTGGACTTTTTAGGATAAAGGTCCTAATTTTTCTTTTCCTTTAGATTCTAAATATCTGTACGAGTTTCCTTTTCTTAAACATTTTTTTTTAAATCCCCAGAGATCCAAGAAGTCAAAACAGAGCCTGAACCAGACAAAGTCCCTGATTAAAAGGTACCCCCAGAGGAGGAGCCAAAAAGAAGCTTCTTAAGAAAATAAAAATAGAAAAAGCAATAGCAGTGGCAGGGCTTTTTTGCCACTAAGAATAGCTGCAGCCAGCTCCCCGCACGCTGAGTCCATCTTCTGAGGCTCATTGTGGAGGGAGCTAGAATCCATTTTCTGTTTCAATTGACGTTAATTTCATCCCAGCATATTTCAGGCCTCTCATCACAAGATGATTCATTGCTGCGTGTAAGCGAGTACAATCAGCTCAAATATTTGTAGTCTTCATGCAATTGCTGTAAGAAAACAGGGGACTACATGCCGCACATCGCTCCCCTCCCTCCCAGCCAGGCCCAACTGAGGACTGAGGTGTGGAGTTAAAGTGACACACATGGCTGGCTCTTCTACACTGCTGAGTCACACGGAGCGTCCATCCCCGGGAGACCACCAGCTGCTGCCAAGAGTATTTCTGCAAAGAGGGTAATGCCCCTGAGAGCCTGGCCAGGAACTCTTCCAAAGAAAGAAATGTTGGCAGACCTTGCCCTCCCACACTCTTCTAACCTCTGTACAAAAAAAAAAAAAAAAAAAAAAAACAACTCTCAGCATTTTCCCAGTGGTTGTCTCAGCATCCAAGAACTGCGTGGAAGCAGATGCCCTCTAGAATCCCAGAGATGGTGCTATGGAGAGAAGTAGGAAACACAGATTGCACAAGACTGTGTACCTAAGCAGGAGAAGGAGCCCCTGTCTTGTGGTCTGGCATGCATACTGCTGCTCTTACTCCATGGGGTTAGTTCTGAAATGACTCCCTCCTTCATTATCAAGTATATTCATTTTGTAGAACGTTTGAAACATGGAACAGCAAATCTATAGTCCTGGTTCTTAAAGATAACCACCACTAAGGCTAGCTTCATGGATGTCCAACCTGCTGTCACATAGACCTGGCATTTAAAAGTTTCTTGTGTTGTGTTCAGTGTTCTACCATCATCTCAAATATCTTCATTCCTTCCTGTACTTTTACTCTGCATTATGCTCTGATTGTTCTAATTACTATTATAATTAGTATCGGCTTTGCCGATGCAAAATCATGTGTTCACTTAGAAAATGTTTATTAAGCATACAATGCCAGGGTTCTGTGAAAGTTTCACTGATGGCTGAGGAGGTGGCTCCGTGAGTAAGAGCATTTGTTGCACAAATGTTAGGACCAAGTTTGCATTTCAGCACTTATGTAAAATGTTGGCATGGCCACGTGTGCATGTAACTCCAGTAGGGGGAGTAGAGACTGCAGGATCACTGGGGCTTGTTGGCCACCAGCCTAAGTTCTAGGGCCAGTGAGAGACTGCCTCAGAGGAATAAGGCAGAATGTGACAGAGCCAGACACTTGACATCCTCTTTTGGTCTCTCTGTATGTGTGTACATAAGCACATGGCAAGAAAAGACATACATACATTTTCCATAAACACACACTACACACACCAACACCATATATATGTGTATATATATATATTGATAAATATATATATATATTGATATATATATATATATATATATATATATATATATATATATATATATATATATATTTGAAAGGAAGCCTTGGGTCCTTTAGTCCATCAACACAAATGCACTGGAATTGTGATCTAGAAAGATTAAACCCCTCTCCCGCAGAGAAAAAAATGGCCTAAAACTCACCTGTCTCTGAAAATAACCACAGGATAAAGGATAGGCCAGGCCAAGGGGAAAAGGATAGGCGTGGTCCTTTGACATCAGTGGCAGGATGCTCTATAGACCCAGGTGTTCAAAATACCCTGATGGAGACAGAGGGCCGAGCCTGAAATGCAGACTAGTGTTATTTACACAGGCAGAAGAGATGGCAAAGAGAACACACCTGTAATTACAGACACTACAACCTCACAGCAGTAAATAGGCGAAGGCCAGAGCTGTGGTCTAAGAACTTCTAGGGAACAGAGTAACTGCTGCTCTGACCTTGCCCTTTCCTGAGTTTTCTGTCATTTTTTTACAGCCGAAGAATGGCAAGGAATTTCTTCCCCTCAGAGACTAAGGAAAGCTGCTTTTGAAACCAGTGAAGAGTCATTTCCTCCAAGCAGCAGGAAGAGAGTGTGAAAGAAAGAGAGGGATTATCTCCATGCCATGGGAGACGCTGGGAATGCACAGGACAAACCTCCCTTGGCTCTAAACGGTATTTCTCCTCAAGAAAAAGAAATACGATAACCTTACTTTCCCTAGAGCAAAGGCATCTGATGTGGATGGACCACGTTTACATCAATATACCCCACAGGATATTTGAAAGCTCTGATTTCATCTTTAATTTCCCCGAACAAGGTGAGTGTCTGACGATACCAACCAGAATAAGAGAAGTTTCAGCTCTAAAGCTTAAGAGTTGTAATTCCACAAGTATTGCCCTGCTGTCCATGAGTTCTGGAAAGAGGGAATGGTTAAAACTGAAATCAGTCCCTTGGCATTTAACCTCACTTATCTTTCTGTTAAGCACTTCCAAAGATAAAGCCTGAAGATACAATGACTTAGAACAACACTGTTTAACATAGACTAAACTAACTTTCCCCTCTCACACTATCTTCCTTTTGGATGGACCTGTAGCCACTGCTACCCTGCATTTTCCTTTGGATCCTGATTCAAAGAAGTATTCAAATTCGATAGCTTTGAAGAGACTAGAAAACTACTGGAAAATTCTTTCCCATAACCTGTGTTTGCCTACTGCTGACCTTGCCCCTTCCAATGCACACTCATTAATACCAAAGTTACACTCTAAAAGTTAAATCTGGCTACATGCATAACAGATGCCTCATACCCCCAAAGGGCAGCTGAGTTAAGAGCAGATGTGATGGACAATCTCATGGCCATATCCAACATCCCACCTTAAGGATACATTGAGATGTCACTCTGTTTTTTTTATACTTGGGCTTTCCCCAAAGTTATAGCTAACTCCAAGGGTAGATGCAACCCAAAGTATTAGGAATTGTTGCCTGTAAAGTTCACATTCCAACCACGGAAGCAAGTCCCTTGGCTTCACTCTTTAGCGTGACAGTTCTGGGCTGTGTTCTGTACAATTCATATAAAAGACCTTCAACAACGCTGAGATCTGATAGTTAACTGATTCAAAAATGCATTCTGTCACTCCTTACCTTTCCTTGGATGACTTCTCCATATCCTATCTGTTGCCTGGGATCACCATCCAAGTGAACCATATGCACCCTGGTCATTATCTAAGCTCTGCTTTAAAAAAACCAAAAACCTCACATTTAGACATTGCCTCATTCCCTTTCTTAATACTCCTCAAAATTTCTTTGTTTTCAGGTGAAACAGACTCTGCTCTGCTCACTATCCAGGGTTCCAAAGAATTCAGCTCTTCTTCTTTCTTAATTGAAAATAGATTTTTTTTTCATACAATAGATTCTGATCAGAGTTTCTTCTCTCCTAACTCCTCCCAGTTCCTTCCCACACACCCAAATCCACCCCACTTCTCTCTCTCTCCTCTCTGATTAGAAAACAAACAGGCATACAACACAATAACAACAACAAACAAACAAACCAGAACAGGACAAAACAAACAGAAAAAGTGAGCCAAAGAAAAGCACAAGAAGCACATAGACTCAGACACACACACACATTCACACACCCAGAGAATCCAAAGAACATAAAATCAGAAACCACAATATATAAGCAAAAGATCTTTAAAGTAGAAAAATGCCCAGATAAAGTATGAAGAGACAAAAAGCTTCCACAAAAATATCATTGAGTTCATTTTGTGTTGGCCGTCTACTGCTGGGCACAGGGCCCATGCCCTTAAATATACTCAGGGAGACTCCATGGGAGAAAACTAATTTTTCCTTTGCACATGTCCTCTTCCCCTCTCAATGCTAAGATCCCATGTGGCTTAGACCTGTCCAGGCCCTATGCATGCTGCCACAGTCTCTGCGAGTTCATGTGTGTGTCAGGCCTGTTGTATCTAGAAGGCCTTGATTCCTTAGTGTCTTCCATCCCCACTGGCTCTTACAATCCTTCCTCCTCCTCTGCCGTGGAAATCCCTGAGCTCTGAGGGGAGGGATTTGATGGAGTCGTTCCACTGGGGAATGAGTGGTCTAAGGTCTCTCAGTCTCTGCACATTGTCCAGATGTAGGTCTCTGTATTTGTTTCCATATGGTAGGAGAAAGCTTGTGTGATGGTAGCTGACTGAGCAAGACACTGATCTATGAGTATACCAGAATGTCATTGTGAGTCATTTTATTGCTACATTCCTTTAGCAGAAGAAAGGTAATATTTGGATTTCCCCTAAGTCCTTGGCCTGTCTAGTCTCAGGTTCTTGACCATCCAAGAACAGACAGGCCTGGGTTCTATCTCATAGAGTGGGTCTTAAATCCAGTCCTACAGGTTACTCCCATGACTTTGGGGCCATTTTGCACTAGTGTATCATGCAGGAAGGTCACCATTGTAGACTGAAGGGTTTGTAGCTGGAGAGCCCAGCTCTTGACTCTTATTCTTCAATTAAACTCCAAGGGCCACCTGTACCTGAGTATTCATTGAAGACCTTCAAATCTTCTGGATCGAGTTCTGCCTCTTTACTTCTTTTCACCTGTTGCTTTCCTACTTGTTCCTTCAGATTCTAGTTCCATACCACCACCACCTCAAAATACAGGAACACCCCAACTCCACTCTCTGTAGAAGACCCATGACCATGCAATGCTGCCCTTTGAATGTTGCCAGTATCAGGATGCAGTCTCACCTCCATCATGAAATGTGTGCCCCTTGAAGTCAAGATCAAGTCTTAAGTTGTCGGTAAGGCCAAAGCTTCACACACATACACATGTTTTAAAGGGCCACATGGCTTCTTCTGTCAGCAGCTGCATTTGGTGTGCTCTAAGTGCCATGAGCACTGTTAACATTGTATTAGGGAGCAGGATTTGATTTTTTTTAAAGTGGCTTGAAGTGGCTCTTTCAAACATTTATAGATGTAGCCACCTTGCAAAATCCCCTCTACTGGGGGAAGGAGGTCGAAAATGTTGCACCAAAGACATTCACTCAGAAGCAAAGATACCCCAGTGACAAAATTGAATGACCTTGGAAGGATAAAGCTGAGGGAGACAGACATGATACAACCCAACGAGGGACAGGAAATGACTCACAACACAGAACAAGGACTGGAAGCTAGGGTTCGGAATTCCTGGCAAGCATCCTTCCCACTAATTCATGCCACTGCCCACAAAACTCAAAAGGCAAGTGAGAGCCAGACTGGCTAGGCCTTGATCTTTTTACCAGGTCAAAATGCAATATTCTTAAAAGAGTAAGTCAGTAACAGGGAAGCAGTGCACTGGGAAAAATAATTGTTCTGTGCACCCCAATTCAAACAGAATCTAGCAAATCTCCCCAGAGGAATCAGGAGGCTATTTGTAGAACAAAGCTTAAGGAAAGAAAAGAGAAGGAGGCAGGAATAGTAGTGTTGATGGATAGAGTTTCCAAGTATGTGAGGTGTATTCTAAATATTTTTCCTTGTTTTCCTGCTTCCATGTGTGCAGGGCAAAAGCTTCCCTTCTACATTGTGCTTTGTATAAAATATATGGTAATGCCCTCGGTGATACGGGAAAGGCATTGTCAGATTCACTTCCATTTCTCCAGCGTTGACTGATTAGCCCCTCGGCCCTCCCTCCATACTGGAACTGAATTCCGTGTGCAGCAAGATAGATGAGCAAGAGGAAGGGTGAATGGGTAGCTGACAGGTGCAGAGACGCAAGAGTAGTGATCAATGTGGCTCCCTCCCCGCCCTCCCCCTCATGACTTCTCTGCATTTTTGCACTCCAACCCCACCGTCCTTTCCATAGGTCTTAGGAATTTCTGGGGGGCAGGTTTGATTTTTTCGCCTATTAGGTAGACTGTCTACCCAACCCAGAAATCTCCCAGGCTCCTGGACACGTGGCTTCCCTCCTGCCCATGAGTACTTTCTTCGCCCCCCTCGGCACCCAGCTAAACCATGCTGAGAAGTTTCTTAAGTGTCAGATGTTGTCACACAGATATCCTGCAAGAGAATAGACCTAACTCTTGTGAAATAGGGGTCCTCCTATTGAGATCATTGTCCCATGCCATCTTCCAGGTGGTTTCCCCAGAAGAAACGGATGCCTCCCTTCCCCATCTCCTCCCACTCATTCTAGCATTTTGCATAATGTGCTTTCCCCAGCCCATTTCCATCATGTTTATTTCAGGAACTCCAGCAGTCACTATTAGCCTGACCTACATATTTTTTTTTCATGTCCTAGGTGTTCTCCAATTATCATTAACCCAGTATGTTTTAAAACCAGCCTTAGAAGTAATTATAGCAGGGAACTGGTTTGGTGTCTTTCCAATCAACAGGAAGAAATAATAAGAAAAGGATTTCAATCACAAGCTATGAAATCTGCTTCTTAAGCAAAAATCCAGGAGGAAAAAAAAATGGTCTCTTGGGAGAAAAGGTAGGAAAGTTTTCTTGATCCTTTCCTGTGCACTAGATATTTTCACTTATAATATCCCACAATCCTAAAATCTTGAAAAATAAGTGTCACAATCACTTCGTTTATAGTTGGGGACACTGGGGCTTAGAGAAGTTGGGAGTATTCTCAAGATAAAAAAACAAAAAACAAAAACAAAAACCCTGGCTGGCAAAACAGCTCTGTTAAATAGCACTGAGTGCCAAGTCTAACAACTTGAGTTCAATCCCAGGGACCCACATAATAGAAAGAGAACCAACCTGAGAAGTTGTCTTCTGACCTCCTCCCACAGGCTGTGGCACAAGTATGCACACACACACACACACACACACACACACACACACACCCCACAGTGTGCATATGAAGTAAATAAACCAACATGTAATAGAGTATTTTAAGACTGATAAGTAGATAACTAGCTTTGATCTGTGACCAACAAGCTAGTTCACCGTGTGAAGTGGGCTTCTAAACAGGTCTTATCATTATCATCTTTGCAAAACAGCATCCTAGAGCTTGAGGTAAGGCAGCCAACGTTATCTTTGGCCTTGGCCTTGGCCTTGGCCCTGCCTCATCTCCACTGAATATAGGTATCTGTTCCAGGTATTGATATTCAAGCCATATCTAAATCAGTAGATGCCCTTTTCTAGGATTTCCCACATTAGAACTGGAAACCAGGGTCAGATTCTATCTCATATTTCTGAGATGAAGTCCAAGAGCAGTAGGAAGCCATTGACATGGGAAGGAAAAGATGAGAAAGGAACAGAATGGGATGGGAGTGGCCAACCTCTGGTGTGGATAGTGCCTAATACCCAGTGATGTCTTTTCTCTTCCTGGAATGTATTCATACTCTTTTGTCCCCAGTGAGCCAATACACCCCTTCTGGCCATCTGCAGTCAAATTCTAGGTTAGTAGCCAAAAAAAGAGTTCCAACAAATGTGAAGGCCCTATGTACACTCTTTCTAGTCCTGGCTTGGAGACCTAATGAGGAAAGCTGAGATCAGATTGGGCAAAGGATGTCCCTTGATTGTAAAACACAAGTCAGATTCACTTAGACGGCTTTTCATTCCTGAGATTCAGTTAAAAGAATCTGATATTTATCTCACTCAGGTCAGTACATCACCCAATAAGCTGGGGAATGGAGGGATGTAGCTCCTTCGTGGTCACACACAGTCCATCCCTCAACCTCAGCCCCAGCTGCCTTATCTCTAGAATGAGACAGCTGCACAGACTAGGGTTTCAGTCCCTCACCACAGGAGCTGGGGTTTATATAACACATTTTAAAAATGGATTTCCTTTGTTATCCTTTATCTGTGAATTATGGATTTGATGTGCCAGCCATATTTTCCCAATGCATATTAAAATGCATAACCACTCAAGTAAAACATGTTTGACTGCATTCCACCCAAATCCACTCGGGTTCCACACTCAGGAAAAAAACGGAGCTGATGATCTCTACCAGGCTGACAACCATGTCAGAGGAGGTCACAATAGGAGACCAGCCCATTCTTAACTTGTGCAACAAGTGCTTGTGGAAACCCCTACTCCAGACACAGGCCACTATGGGAAATCATAACAACCCGTGTAGTTCCATCTGACAGTCAGTGAGCTTTTATGATGAGCTGGGCACTGGACTAAGAACTTTGCAGCTGGTGCCTCATTTTTATCCTCTGAAAATCCCTTGAGTTAGGTATAACTTATTTCTGAATCTCAGAAAGGTGAATTATTCATCACTTAGCCCCAAAGCTAGTGTATTAGTTTTCTACTGCTGCCATAACAAATCACCACAGATTTTGTAACTCAAAGAATCACATATTTATTATTTTACTCTTCTGTAAGACAGAAATCCAACAGAGGTTTCACTGGGCTAAGAGCAAGGTGTCAGCAGGGCCGTGATCTTTCCGGATACAACACCGAACAATCTGTTTCCTCACGTTTTCCAGCTTCTAGAGGCCTCCTGATTCCCTGGCTCATGTCCCCATCTCCATCTTTACAGCCAGAAATCTGGGCTGTGACCTTCTCCTGCTGCTGTCTCTCCAGCTCTCTGAATCCAGGAAATCTGATCTGCTTCTGAGTGCTTGTGACTTGGAACTTCCCGGTTAACTGAGAAAAATCTGCCCTCGACTCTTGTTTCCTTAATCACGTCTGTGAAGCAACTTGTGCCACTATACAGTAGCCTTTTCATAGGACTTGGCAATTCACAAATGGACATCACTGGTGCAGCCACTATCTATTACAATCAGTAAAGGGCAGAGTGCGAATCAGGCTTTCATCCCACAGATCAACCACTACCCTAATGAGAAATAGTCACCAACAGGCTCAGAACCAGAAAAGTCTAGAGGGCTGCAGAAGGTGTGCTTTCATTTACTATCCTGTTCCCAGTGTCTCCTCCCACCCAGCATGGAAGCTACATCTAACACAGTCGTCACAGCACTTGTAACCATTGTGATCAGGATGTGCTGTCTGTAGAACACAGATGCTGAACTTCAAAGTCAGGATAAAACCACACAGGATATCTTAATACACAAGCCAGAAGAGGACGTCAGATCCTCTGGAGCTGGGGTTGCAGATGATTGTGAGCTGCTGTGTGGGTACTGGGGACAGAACCTGGATCCTCTACAAGAGCAAGAAGTGCTCTTAACAGCTGAGCCATCTGTCCATCCTCACTACTAGTAAGGGGGTTTTATGATATAGATATATGACATTACGGATCTAGAATATTTGCTATACAACTGACCCCTGGTACACAGCAATCCAGTGACCAGAGGGTGAGTAAGTGGGTAAAAACAGAGCCTGGTATATTCAAATACACAGTCCTACTGGAGCGTTACAGTTCCAAACCCAGAAAGGCAGGCAGGGGAGTGGGTTGTACAGCACCTAGATTCAGATGAAGAGCCGATGTTTTGGAAGTGCCTCCAATAGGTTAGATTGAACTGTCCTTTTTCCTCTTTGCTAAGGCAGAGCCAGTGAAGGACTAAGGCTAGGAAAAGGCTTGCCTCTGTTTCTGCTTGAGAAAAGACATTCTTCACAACAGGTTGAACTGGGGAGGGACTTGATCTTCAGACAAATGTGAAGCACATGAATCATGCCCTCCTGAAGAAGCAGCAGTAAGGAAACAGCATGAAGGAGATATTGGGCAACAGGAGAAGGAGACCTTGTGTCTCTGGGAACTAAACTTTATAAGAAACAATTACATGGAATTTGGTGGAATTATAAACGAAAAGATCACATCCCATGAGGATGTGTGTTCTGCTCTGTAAGAGCAGAGGAACAAAGATGTTCAAGTCCAAAGCAGGGGGAGGAACCCTAGCAGACCACAGGAAGGAATGTTTCATTCTGGAGATCACAGACAGCTTCAGCAGAGACAATGCAGCTGCCTGTGAGCGGGAGTCAGAGCAGCAGGTGGCTGAAAGGCCAGCGCCAACCTGACCAGAGGAGCAGACACGCCTCTGTGGTGCTCCCAAGCCACCAGCAGCCCTCCCAGTGCTTCTGGGCTCTTTGTTACAGAACGCAGGGCAGCTCGCTTTAGAAGGGAGGCCAACAGGTTCAGAGACCTTCCCTCGCCTGGTCTGCAGCGTGCCTTCATTAAATATTTCAGAGAGCAGAAAGCCACTTCAAAAGCAGGAGGTCTTTGCAGCTGCTGTGGCTGGAGGCTGGAGTCCATAGGCCCATGGCTGCATCACTCTGTTTTTTTTTTTTTTTCTTCTTCCCTTCTTCGATGGTCCCAATTAATTTCAAAACAGAAACACAGCCCATAAATGTTGACTCCATTAAAGGACAAAGAAATCGTGACATAGGTGCCAAGTCAAAGGCCGAAGCTGCCTTCTGGGCACTGAGGAAGTGCAACCTCAAGGACAGGTGACGTCCCCACCTGTGAAACGGGCTCAGCCTTACTCTGCAGTTCAAGAAAGCCTGGATCCAAAGTACATCAAGGCACTTGTTCACAATAGTACCCTGGCCCCAGGCATCTGGGGAAGGACAAGACTTCTGTTCACAGTGGGGCCAAGGAGAGAGGAGACAAATTGAAAATTAAAAAAGGAAGTGCCACAGTTACCTTGTCTCCCTCCCAAAGTCCCATAGAGCTGAGGACAAATAGATTTTAGAATATAAATAAGTAAAGCAGTGAACATAAAGAGGCTGGACAAGGAGATGACAGCCAAGGAACAGTGACAACAGAGGATAAAGAAGAAGGGATAATCTAGACCCTAGGGGATGCAGGCTAGAGCTGCGGGGAGGTGAGAGGCAGGACCTTTACAATGTGGGTTGCCAAAGGGCTCAGCAGCCAGCAACTGGGGATTCTGTGAAGTACAGGCTGACTCAGCCCAGGCACCAAGTGAAGGGTGCTCAGTAGGCATGGGCTGTGACTGTGACTCACATCCACTTCTTGTAGCCCCAGACTCCCTGACTCTGCCGAACATTCCAAAATGTTCCATTCTCTGTATCTCCCACACAGACGCCTGGAGTGGAGAAATGTGATTCCTTTTTTATTTTTACTACTTTTTAAAACATTTATCCTAGATTTAATTGTTTTTTCTTTCCATAAGTTTGGATTCTACATATGAGTCATTGACTCTGCCGTAAACTTCCTGCTAATTATCTAAGTCTCCTTTTCCCTCTTTGGGCACAGGCATTTCATCTTTTTAAATAATTCTCTCCTGAGACTATGTGCAAGCCAAAACAAAAACAACAACAACAACAACAAAACTAGTAGTAAACCTGACAGGTTGGGTTTGGTGTTTTTTTGTTTTGTTTTGTTTTGTTGTTGTTGTTGTTTGTGTTTGTTTTTTGGGTTTTTTTTGGGGGGGGGGTTGGTTTTTTGGTTTTTTGGTTTTTTTTGGATACCATGTATGTAGTCTGAATGAAAGAATGAAAACTGAAGATGGATCTAATGAAAATGATGATGGAATCATATGACCAGGCTGGGGGAGAATAAAGGGTGTGTGAGACTTAGAGACAGCTCAACCTCTTC